ATATATATATATATATGTGTGTTACAAAAAAATACTTATGCATAATAAATTGCAGAAAATTTAATAATTACATTAATATTACCTTACAATTATAGCAAGCTATTTACTTGTATCAAAACGTAAAATCAACCCAATAATGAGTATAGCTATATAGATATACTGTTCTTACGTTTCTAGTTATAAAGATTAGAATGCACTGTTTCATCACTTGAGTACCGTCACTAGGATTGCTATTTTCAGCTATAAACCTAATAATATCTTGGTTAGTCCAGACTTCAAGTTCTAAGCTAACAATGCAAAATGGTCTCTGTAATAAAATTAATGTAATAAAAGAAATTATAAAAACAGGTATATTAAACATTCTAAGTAATCTTAAGGAATAGAGAAAATTGTTACGTCTCTGATCGTTAGTTAATTTTCCGTAACAATACTTTCTGAAGAAACTTTGGCGATACAAGTCATTTCTTAAATAAAACTGGTTTATTCTTTCTCAGTACAACTTTGCAATACACTTAATTTCCACAGTCACGCTATAACAAACGCTATAATTCACAACAAACGACTCACGTACTCGACTCAGTTGTCAGTCTCTATCCCTGTCTGAAGTTCAATTACATTGTTGGTGTCACTTCTTGGTGGTCTTATATACAAGAATACCGAAAATCTAGTTAACGCTCGTGGATTCATGAAGGGACATGATTTTTCTAGAAGTTTATGACGTGTTACTAGCGTCACGTGACCTCCGCTGTCGTAACAATATCTTAGTCATGCAAAGTATAAACACTATTTGTTTGCTTATGCACTTTTTAGACCTAATAGTAATATTAACTGAAGAACTTAGGATCCTTACAAGTGCAACTTTACACAGTCTACAATAACAATGTCATACGACCAATGAAAGTACATTAATCAGCTCCAATGGTTTAGCTATATAGTAGTCTGACATCTTAAATTATTATTTCACATATTTATACTTTATAAAATATTTCCAAATCACTTGTTAATTCAACAATGAATATCAAAATATAAATTCAGAAAACAAAAGTAAATAAAACTATTAACACATTTTTAGCATTAGATGAACTTGTTGAAAAACTCTAAAGAGTATCTGGAAAAAAAAAAATCAACAAAGAAACCTTTGTTACTTTGAATAAAGCCTTAGTTCACCAAATTTATCTACTAGTCAGAGGGAGAGAAACCAGTCAGTAGTGCTTACCACTTACATGGCTAATCTTAACCAAACAGCAGAATTGACTGTCACTTTTACAACACAACCACAATTGAAATTGTGAAAAGTGTTTAGCAGCATACTGCAGGCTCAAACCTTGAACTTTTTACTTTGCGATCTGACATACTATCCATTAATCCATGTCTGTCAGGTTTTATATGTATGTATGGGCCAGATTATTTACAGTTAGTAACAGTGGCTTGTTGGCAAAACATTTCAACCATAAACAAACAGCACAAAGTCCACTTGTTTTGAAATAGTAAATTAAATAAGTCAAATGTATATACAAATGTTCATTACACTGTTGGTTAACACAGTTGTATTCCAGAGCTTTAAATAATTGTGTCTTTTTCATCAAAGTCCACACAGGCTGGTTCAGTTACTTTAGAACACAATTGACAAGACAAATTATTCATCTCTACTCTGTTATTTCAATACAATCTGTGATAATTTCACTTTAAAAACTGCCACTATACACTCTTTATGTCTAAAACTTACAATCACACAGTCTAGATTTTAACTATCTACCTGACTAAACTAAAACTATATTATTCACATTAATAATGCTTGGAGACAGCTTGAATGGGTAATAAAGAAAAACTTCAATATACGTTTAGCATAACAGTTGTACATTTGCTGTTATGTTAAACTTATATTAAAGTTTTTCTTCATTACCCATTCAAGCCATCTCCAAGCATTATAAGCATAGACTGGGATGAACTTCCTATAGTATCCCGCTAACTCTAGGAAGGATCTGACTTCCTGGTTGGTCATCAGAGCAGGTGCATCTGGTATGCAGGTTAGCTTCTTCTCTTCCATGGCTATATGTTGGTTGCCCACCTTGTGTCCAACAAAATCCAGCATAGAATAAACAATGTATTAGATGGTTTGATTGGTCAGACCTGCTGCCCTCACTTGCACAAATAGCTCTCTGAGTTTCTTCAGGTGGTCTTTCAACCTGGCTGTGTGGGTCAGAATGCTGTCCACATATTGCTCGATGTTGTTGTTGGTGTTGTGCAACTTCTTCCTCATCATGTGGTTGAATGTCACTGCTGAGTTGACTAACCCAAACAGCATCCTCTTAAACTGGTAGCATCTGTCTGGTTTCACAAAGGCTGTCTTCTCTAGATTCTGTCTCTATTGGGATCTGCTAATAAACTTTATTGAGGTCAGTCTTGGTAAAGAACTTAGCCCCATCTAGTTTTGCCATGATAGCCTCCATATTTCCCATAGATTCAGAGTCAAATTTTGTCACAAGGTTCAGTTTCCGAAAATCTGTGCAAAAGCATTTTGAGCTGTCCCTCTTCAGACTCTTATTCACGATTACCACTGGTGGATAGTAGGCTGAATTTGAAGGCTCGATGATTCTGGCTTCTAGCATTACCTTGAATTCTTGCTTGATCAGGTCTCTCATTGCATAGGTTATCTAGTAGGGCTTCACGTTAACTGGATCTCTGGTTGTGGTCTCGATCTTGTGTTGTATAAGGTCTATCTTGACTGATCTACTGTGAAGACATAAGCATACTGGCACAGTTGACCTTGTAACTCATTCTTTTGCTTGCCAGTCAGTTCTTCACTGATGCTGACATCTTTGTATGTCTCATTTCCACCCAGCAATCTTAGGTCACCATATTCTGATACTGCATCTATGACCATCACACTTACTATGTCCATTTGTGCCTCAATAGCTGCACCCATTAGGTCTTCTCCCCTCTCAAAGTAGCTCTTCAAAAGAATGGCATGGTAGATCTTGGTCATCCCATCCACCTTCGTCTTATAGCCCCTTCTGTTGAGCACTTCCTGCACTTAAAAAGGTCCTTTCCACTGCAGGCTGAGTTTGTTGTTCTCTGTGGGTAGCAGAACCAAGACCTTCTTTCTAACATTAAAATGTCAGTTCTTTGCCTTCTTGTCATAGAAGTGCTTCTGATTGCCTTGAGCTGCAAACAAACATTCTCAAGTGAATTGACAGGTCACCTCCAATCAGTTTCTGAGGTCTAGCATGTACTGGTATGTCTTCCTCACTTCTGACATTTCTTCTCCTGCCCACAGTTCTTTCAATATCTGCATTGTACCTTGTACTGTCCTTTCATATAGTAACTTGAAGTGTGAAAACCCTGTACATGCTTGTGGGACTTTTTGGTAAGCACAAAATACTGCCTGCAGGTACCTGTCCCAGTCATGTGGTCTCTTCTGACACATTTTCTTCAGCATGCTCTTTAAAACACTATTGACTCTCTCACAAAGTCCATTATATATGGGGTTTTATGGGGTTGTAACAAGCTGCCTAGTGATGATGAGCCTACATGCCTCTTGCATCAGTTCTGAGGTAAACTAGGTCCCTCTGTCACTCAAGAATTCTTTAGGAAAGCTTACCCTGCAGAACACTTACAGAAAGGCTTATACTACTCTCTACATCTCTATCTTTGGGAATGCTGTGGCTTCTGGGTAACATGTTGCATTGTTGACTACAGTCAGCACATATCAGTTGTCCTTGTCAGATACAGGTGCTAGTGGTCCAATTAAGTCCATAGCTACTCTACTGAATGGCTCTTCTATGAAAAGCATCTCACCAAGTGTCACCTTGGCTACCTTTCCTCTAAATACTGTCCTTTGGCAGATGTCACATGATCTGCAGAATATAGTCACATCACTAATGACCACTGGCCAATGGAAGTTACTGGTGATTCTGTCTGCTATCTTCCTTGCTTCTAAGTGTCCTCCCACAATTGACTTATGAGCCAACTTCATCACTTAAGTCTGGTATTCTATTGGTACCATGATCTGTTTAACTTCCCCAATGGAACTGCATTGATATATTCTGTACAACACTCCCTTCAAGTCCTCAAATCTGTAAATCCTTTTGTCTTGTGCTCATCTTTTTCCTGGCACTGTCCCAAACGTTTCTGTGAATTGCGGCAAGTGGGCAAACGAGTACAAAGTTTGCAACTTGAAAAATTCATTGTTTTCTATATTTCTTTATTTACTATTCTATGCTTTAAGAAAAATAACTGATATCTAAGAAGTTATTTGTAAATAGCAATAATATATATATGAATATGTAATGTATTATAACCAAAATGTGACTGTATTTGGCAAGTACTAGTTCACTGGAACAAACTGAAGACATGTCACTTTGTAAAGGCCAGTTTTATACTATTGGATACGGTAACATGACTGCATATGCCACATCATTGCAACTTCTGTAATGTTAAACATGGCTGAAAGATCAATGAAAAAAAAACAATTGTGGTTTCTTCTTATAATCATTCTAGAATAAAAAAGCATAATTTATTTTTATTTCCTAATTTTTTTATGTTGGTTACGAGGTCGGTCAAATCAACCAAACCCATACACAGATACAAAAGTGAAAATAAGAGCTCAAATATAAAGTTTTTTCTAAAAAATAAGTTTGATAATTAACTGAAGGTTATTAGGAGGTTATAAAGATTTTGTATATGAAATTTGACAATTTTCTGATGCATAAAAAAATCAAAATTACTATAGTCAACATTCAAATAGAAAAAAATTCAGGAAGAAATCATTACTTAAAAAAAATCTTAAAACT